AATCCACAGTGTACAGTACTCATAAACTATAGACAGTACGTATAAAACATCAGTGTACAGTACTCATAAACTATAGACAGTATGTACATAACCTCATTGTACAGTACTCCCTAACTATAGACAGAACGTACACAACATCAGTGTACAGTACTCACAAACTATAGACAGTACGTACAAAACCTCAGTTACAGTACTCAGAAACTATAGACAGTACGTATAAAACATCAGTGTACAGTACTCACAAACTATAGACAGTACGTAAAAAACATCAATGTACAGTACTCACTAACTATAGACAGTACGTACACAGCCTCAGTGTACAGTACTCACTAACTATAGACAGTACGTACACAACATCAGTGTATAATACTCATAAACTATAGACAGTACGTACACAACCTCAGTGTATAATACTCACAAACGATAGACACTACGTATAAAACATCAGTGTACAGTACTCACTAACTATAGACAGTACATAAAAAACCTCAGTGTAGAGTACTCACTAACTATAGACAGTACGTGCACAGCCCCAGTGTACAGTACTCACAAACTATAGACAGTACGTACAAAACCTCAGTGTACAGTACTCACAGACTATAGACAGTACGTACACAGCCTCAGTGTACAGTACTCACAAACTATAGACAGTACGTATACAACATCAGTATACAGTACTCATAAACTATAGACAGTACGTACACAACCTCAGTATACAGTACTCACAAACTATAGACAGTACGTAAATTGTACATACCCTCAGTGTACATAACTCATAAACTATTTACAAACTGGATATTACATAGATGGTCAACGCTAATTGATAACACACCCCAGCATCAATGAATGGGTCACTGAACCATGACATAGCCTTTTATACATGTACGTCTAGTGATTTCGATATAAATCAGGAAGGATTATGAACAAGTTATAAAACAATGATAGCACTTTTTTGAAAACATACTCAAATCTGATCTTGAGGAAAAGAAAGATCCAAGAACTCAGAGCAGTTATCATTTATGGTTTATTTATCATTTTGTAAGACAGAATTACACACACACACACACATATACATGTACGTATCATCTCTACGGTATTCTTTATCCATAGATCATCTACTACTAGATAGGTGATCTGACAATATCATGAGTTTATTTTGAATGGAAAATAATAAACACTTTTTAGACATTTTTAAAGTTTATTCTTATATTTTATTTTCATAGTAGACATGTAGTTAAATATACTTCCGTACTACATGTAGAAGACCAAACACTTCCTTGAATTTTTTTTTTTTTTTAATTTATCTATTTTTATCTGAAAGTCTAAAATTACTTAATAATTTAAAAAAAAATAAAAAAAAATGGGGACAATTGAAGAAATAATGGCATCCCCCTGCTAATACATATCTTTGGTGCATCTTTGGTGCATAGGATATCTTTAGGGTCAGGAGCCTCCAACCCTGCGTTTGCAGAGATTGAGAGAGAGAAACATGGTGTGTATACAGTAGTTGATCTTTCCTCCCCCCTACCTTCTACTCAGATTTGACCGCGGGGCTCTGATGAGGAGATAAATGTGATTTGACATCAGCCCCTATACCTAGTGTAAACACACACCCTCAGGACATTTCAACCCCTGCAGTTTCTCCTGTTCTAGCTACAGGTTTCACACAGGTTAAATTTACCTGTAATTATTTAAAAGTCAAATTGGATACATGTACCTACATATTTTTTTTCTATAAATAAATATTTTGTTTGAAATCAGATCTACATTCGTGTAACCACAGTGCATAGTTACCCATCATGAATGGGACAATAGCTATATTTAGTACATAGTATTTTTTCTTATTCACAGCACATGTAGTTACCTCTGCATTCTATCCTAACCCTTGATATAAATAATTACAAATAGCTACGCTAGTCATGTATGAGAGATACATCCAATGTGTTGACCCCTTGCATCGCGGGTGTGTGTAGAGGAGTGGGTACGTTCATTTATTTAAAACTATTGTATGAAACCTAGGTAACAGAGGTACCTTTCATTCAAGGAGCTTTTTTGTAACATATGGAAATAACATTTTATTGATCTGACTAAATGTTTTAATAGGCTCGATAAAAAGACACCAGATGTGATTTCAACAAAAAAAAAAAACCGACTCATTCTGTAACGCGCTGATTTTATTTAAGATACGACCGTATTATTTGTTCAGCACTTCTAATCAGTACAATCCTCCAGCACGACGTTATAAGCAATCTGTGCATTTCCGTCCTTAACTCGACATTTGGTAGCTTGATGTAAATCAAAAGATTGCAGAGCACTATCGGGAATATTAAATAATTAATAAAGATGTACTTAACTTGACATTTGGTAGCTTGATGAACATCGCCAAATTAAAGAGTACTATCGGGAACATTAAATATTTAATAATGATATACTTAACTTGACATTTGTTAGCTTGATGTAATCACCAGATTAAAAAGTACTATCGGGAATATTAAGTAACTAATAATGATGTACTGAACTCGACATTTGGTAGCTTGATGTAAATCATCAGATTAGAGAGTACTATCGGGAACATTAAATAAATAATAATGATGTACTTAACCCGACATTATAACCAGGGCCTTCATAAAAAAATACCACTTTAATGAATTATAAGATAAATTCAAAAAGGTATGGGCATATGAAGCTTAAATCAGGAACAGTTATTTTCAGAATTCATTTTATGACAAATGGGACCTCATTGACTTACACCTGTGTAGGTGTTAAAGGTACGGTAATACAATTCCTCCTAGAGCATTTAAATGACCCAAATACCTTAACATTATATCAGCGTCGTGTGCAATATATCCCAACTGTTATTGTGATACCAAATATTACACTATTTCAAAAAAGAATTGTTCTCTTTATTGAATATTAAAGCAGAAAAGCATGTGAAATTTCATTACTAATGAGAACATTTCCAGGTTTGACAGGTTAATTTACATAGTTCTAAAACGAGTCTATTTTTCATACTTGCTTGAAAGATGGCTACCAATAATAAGTTTCAACACTAGGAATTTCAAAAAAAAAATGATAGCCGGTAAATTTGTCATATAACATTTTTGATACAAAAAAAAAGAGAAAAACATAGCTTTCTTTCCACTTTTCCTTTAAGTTGTGTTTCTTCATGACCAAAGATCATTGGGTCTTGATATTTGGCAAGTAGGTTGTTCATGTGTATGGATTTCAGTTTTGTAAACATTGATGACCTTGACCTTCGTTCAAGGTCACAAAATCTTTGCTAGAATAAAATGTCTGCATGGGGAGTCAGACAAGGATATTTTTCCTTGCTTTATTTGTTTAGAGTTAACGATATAAAATAATGTAATTTTCCTTCATATTTTGATTAGTGAATGGGTAATAGGCAAAATAAAATAATAACTAGAACTGTAAGCCAAAGGTAACTACTACCACCCGCTCCTATATAAACCAGAACTGTAAGCAAAGGGCTAACTAAGACAAAGCATAGCAAAGCAATCCATAGTCACCCATCGGTAATTATTTAAGTATATAGGTCACTGACATACTTCCTGTACTCCCTTCCAATGCCAAACATTCTTACATGACCCCACCTTTGTATTATTTTTTGTTGATAAATGTTTATTGATATATATCTTCTCTGACAACGTTATCGTTGTTTTTTTTTGGGGGGGGGGGGGTTGGATGGTTTTGGGTGGTTTTTGGTGGGGGTTTTGCTTTAGAGTGTTCTTACACAGAAACATTAAATATGCGTACACATATGTGTGTCATACATAAGACATGGCCAATACTGTTACAGTTTAAACAAAGAAACATTCACACACACTAATCTTCATCACTCTAACAATTGTGATATACATTTGTTTATTTTGAGTAACTGGTTGCTCCAGTATAAACCGCAGTATTATTATTATTTCATCGTTTTTGGATTATGGTTTAAATGCTTTGGGGTTTTTCGTGGTTCCTGTTTTTGCCTTTTCATATGAGGGTTAGTTTCCGATTTTGTGCTGGTATTTTATAGTCAACAAATCGACACGGCAATCATTTGCAAAACTGTTCTGGGAAATGCAACTTCATTAGCTATCCTGGGCGTGCAGCATTGATCCTACAGTGTTTGTGCTTCACTGTAGGACACGACATTCATGGTCTCTTGCTGTGTTTGTAGTGTTGGCGCGAACTATACGCATCAGTGGTACATGATTGTGGAAATAGTTCGGAAGTTATTTTATAGGCTTGAAATTCCCTCCAGAAAAGTAGGCTTTCAGTATCTGAAATGAAATAAAGGATTCACGGGATAAATCCGTAGGTATTACTTCCTGTCACCGGGAACTCGTACAACCTTGAAATCATTATATTAAAGGGTAACCCACTTTCATTTAGACATCATAAAAGCTTTGTAGTAACAGTATTGACTAAAGTGATGATCAGTATTTTTGTCATAAGACTTAACGACTTTTCTCATTGGCATGGTTCGTTTGTCACATATTCGTGCGTTATCATTGAAGGAATTTAGGAGATTATCTGAAATGTTCTCTGCTCCTTATACATAGTACGAGATGTTTGCTAAAATTAGGTATGCATATGTTACGGTTGTATTGACTGACTGTTATACAGACGGTTTAGCCCAGCTTTAAGTAATAGGTATCGTTAGCGCAGCGTACACACATGTTGGTTTAACTACTAAACTTTCACCAGTGGTGTTTGCAATTGTTTTTTTTTAGAAATATAAATCAATATAGAAAAACATGTAAAAATAGAAAGAAATGATGATGATGATGAGTCGCATTTTTTATAACAGAAAGTTTGAAACTGTATTATGGAATGTCCTTAAAACGGCTATAGGTTATTGGATGTCACCTTGAACTAGGTTTCCCGCACAAATGGCACCAATATAATTGAAGTTAAAATAGTTAACCTGATATATCGGTTGCTTTGTTTATTGATTTTTGCTCTTTATTACAGTTTGACGTAAATGATATGGAATGGAATGAAATCTGAGAGTGCTGTCAACTAGACAATGGCTTTGTACAAAGCTCTGATGGAGGAGACGCCATTGTCGCGGACCAAGGAACCGGATAGTGCAATAGATGATTCCACTGAAGTCCTGTCCAATTCTGAGGGTATAAGTTCATTAATTACGCGAAAATATTTTGACCCTGTCACGGACAACAATGATTCAGAGGCGTCAACAAATGTGTCAGAATTGCCGTACACTGTGTTAAATTCATCGCGTGATCACGAGAACACAACCTGTGGAAAGTCATCGTCATCACTTACAGACCATAATATCTTTTCGGAAATACCATCGTCTTCGGCACCAGAAAATATTTTAACTGAAATAACAACGGAACTTGTGTGTGATACTAGGCTAACTGAGACATCATTCAGGCAACAACCATCAAGTGAGGAAAGTCCGAGCTTAACGGGCGTGAGACGTGATACACTGGGTGATCATGGTGACAGTAGCACACAAGCTATTGGCGATGATGGAGGTATTAACGTTGACCGGTATCAACCTGGACCGCGGGTAACTGTGCACAATCTACACCAGAGTGTAAGTTGCGTCATTTGTCAAATACACCATACTGACAGCGATATAGACAACAGAGGGGAACAGTTTATGTATAGTGACGCTGACAAATTATATTGTAAGAGTTTAACGCAAAATAAAAATACACCTGCTTACAAATATTCTAATCGGAAAACGGACGAAATTACAGACAGACCGTTTCGTGATCAACCTACAAAAATCAATGCATGCTCTAAAGATAATATTTGCAACAAAATGTCTCAAAATAACGAACGGAGTATCGACCAAGCTATAACGGACGAAGGACAAACACGTGGACATTGTTTGTATTTATCGAATGAAGCACTTAATACTGACAAATGTAATCAACTATCAGACCATGTAACAACAGACTTTGTTCAAATGATAACGAAGAATGGACACAAGTATGGTGATGACTTTAGCAGAATTAATCCGAAAGCCGATCGAAAAGATAGATGTCAAGCGCTTAACGAACAAGACAAAACCAAAAATAATAGCCGATTTCACGATACCGCTGATTTGAATATTCAAAATATGGATGCATCGCAAACCGATACTTTGCTGATAAAGATAGTACCCGACCCCACTGTCAATACAGAAGCAAATCCTGTTTTAGCCGAGGTGAGCAAACTGATGAGTGATTTTTTGGCAAAAGCATTTGCTCTTAAAAACCTGTTAATATTTCTATTACACTGTATCTATCTACATTCATAACATAGATCCTCAACATGCTTATTTTAATAATGGTTTTAAACAAACGTCAGTTAAACGTTTTAGATATAGTTCTAAGACGTATTTCCAAACATTTCCTCCCGCATGAAGCATATGTTGGGGTTTGCGTATGTCTATTAGTTTATATATGTGTATGTCTATAAGTGTATGTATGTCTATTGATATATATGTATATGTCTATAAGTATATGTATGTCTATTGATATATATGTGTATGTCTATAAGTGTGTGTATGTCTATTAGTATATATATGTATATGTCTATAAGTATATGTATGTCTATTGATATATATGTATATGTCTATAAGTGTATGTATGTCTATTGATATGTGTATATATATGAGTATGTACATGAGTATGTGTATGTCTATTAGTATTTATATATATTTATCACATCATCGGTCTGTTATCCAATGAATTCGCCCGTGTAATATTTCTACATATGTCACTAGTGTAATATACCCTGGAGCGTTTTTCATTGGCTGTGCCAGTCAGAAATCGATTGTGAGGTCATAATATGGACAATGACGTGGCGTCATAAATTGTGAATGGCGCAACAAAATGGCTGTCTCCGTTTGATTAAGCCCTCTGCATTTTGGCTTTAAAACCTGTCTCTTAATATGTGTATGAGTATGTCTATCAAGGAGGCTCCACCCTTTCGCAGTTAACCAGCAGAATTCAATGCACTTGCATTTTATAGGGATCTTGATATTTTACAAACCACTATTTTCACAGAGTTATTGTAATTGCATTTGTGAACCGATTTATAGCTGACAGAGCGTAACTCGCTGCTCGACTAAAAAAGTCGTAGCCACCAAGAGCTTGTGAACTACTGTTAGCACGTGATACGTACAGGTGAGGTCGGTAAACAAAAACGCATCAGTCTGCATTCCATGCGCCTCATATACGACCTTCTTGAAGTCGCCTGCTCGTATGTCAGGGTTTTCCTTTGAGTTAATTAATATCTTTGTATCATAAGCTTTATTTATGAAGTACGTGTGATTACACATGATTTCCAAATTATTAGTAAGTCTCGATATCGGGTGTTGACATACCATCGTCAAGCACGTGTACTATTGTTTACCCGGTGTTACTATAATTTACACAACGGTAATGGAATGCCCGATACGCAATACGGAAAGGACGACACGAAAATACGACAAGATAACATGTGTATTACGAAGGGTGGGAAGAGCATGTCTTCCATAAAACCACGCAAAATGGGAAAAAACGTCCAGATGGGTGTTTCTAATATAACGCAAACAGTTTGTTTACTGTAAATGATAGCATATCAGAGTTAGAAATAATCAATAAAAAATCATAAATTATGTACAGTTGTGGGATCGCACAACGTTACACGATGTGCGGTGTGCGCACGATGTGTGCACGGTGTGTGAACGGTGTGTGCACGATGGGCGAACGATAAAAAGCTGGACGATCATTGCTTGCGCACATATGTACGCACGATGGACGGACGTTGTGCGATAACAATCGTGGTTGGTGTAAATTGAGGAATGCCTTAACAATTTATACGGTTTCATGTTTAAACATATAAACTTGATGTTTACGTATGTTTCTATATTCTAGCAACATCTATAAACTTATCTTTCTGTCTATACATTCTTATATTTAGAAATTGTGTTTTCTGTGTTTTTAAACAAACTTAATCGACACATGTAAAATTACAACACAATCCCGTATACAGGTAAACATAACCACTTTGTACATGTACCTGGACCGTAGTTTTCTCCCCGCCTGGGGCACTTACGTAACTCGTCGGGTAAGGCCGGGGGTGTGAAAATCCAGGTGAAGGGGAGCTATAGGCAAACGAATGCAAATAACAAATACTATTCATTACGGTCAAACGGTATCGCATATCAGCTCTGTGTGTCAGGCACTGGTCAGGTAAAACTCCGGACACTCATCAAATTGTTATTTACCTGTTCTGTTACCTTGGAGCCAAACCCATTCTTGACAGCCTAACGGTCGCTGTAATACTGTGTAACACGCATTGTGAAATTGTATAATCTTGATTATTGTGATGAGAAATTACAGAAATATACACAGTGTACATTATCGCATACAAGCCTTCCGTATTTTTGTCATTCCGTAATTTTGATCTACAAATGATACCAAATCGCACAATTGTGCGGAGAGAAGCGCACAACGGGGCGAACGATTGCTAAATCGCACAGTTGTGCGCACCATGTGTGGACGATGTGCGGACGGTGTGTGAACGATGTATGGACGGTGTGCGCACACTATTTTTGGTGCGTTGTGCGGTCCCACAACTGTATCTATTTTTAGTAACAGTTGATATACGAATTAGTTGAAAATCTCAATTGAACTTGTCAAAAATTGAGAAAAAACATGGTAATAAAAGTACCTTGGAAAAATAAGTCAAACTCAAGACTTATTGTTCAAACATAATTGAAGAGTTAGATGATTGTTTGCAGAACATTTATAAATTAAAATTAAAAAAGAAATTAACGGGCAACTTGTGTTAACCTTTCAAAAATTGGCATTTTGCCAATTTTTTAAAACTTTTAAAAATCATGCGACTACTTTTAGCAAAATGTCTTAAGGTAGTTAATACAAATGAATGGAATTAATTGCTTAAAAAAGATAAGTTATTAAAGTAAATAATATAAAAAAATTAGTGATGGCAAATGTATTTCAATATAGCAATTTATGGATGAAATGTGCATACATTTGCACTGAAATTTCACCTTTATTTGTAACTTAATAAGGATTTAATGCCACAATTTTGACATTTTTACAGTTCAAATAATAAAAAAATTATCGGGCTTTAAAATAAGTTTATGTTCTTTAAAAAATAACTGTGTTATTAATTTGATTCTTCAGACATATTTGGTATTTTATTGATCCTTTTGATGTTGCAATAGTGTGTTATTTGGAATTTCATGCTTAAAAACCTTTATTTATGAATACATTTGATAAGAAAGTATAAAAAATAATTCAAATGTAAAGGTAAAATAAGATGTGGTGTCTAAACAAATATTCGTAAAAAAAACAGTGTATTATAAGAAAAGAAATGAGCAACAGTATTTGAGTGCTTTCAAAAAGAGTTATTTCCCTTTCCGGAACTCTTCAAATACAGTGGTGCAGAGGTAGCAGTGTACAGAAGAAATGGCTTGACCCTAAATATAAAGGGCATGTCTCACATAAACATGGATAGTGAATTCAACCTGCACAACACACCTATATATATACATATTATTAAACTACATCTTGATTTCATTTTGTTTAGAAGACTATTTTTTTTTTCAACAACTGTTTTCCCCAGATTTGGGACTTGTTAAAACCATGGTTACCACATTAAAAAACACCAAAATATGCAAACAAATATGATTTTTAACTCAAAATTTGACCCCCGCAAGTAGAATTGTTTTTCTTAAAACCTGTCTGAAATTAAATATCGCCTACTCGGTAACAGAAATACTCAGGTTTTAGCATAGGTCATTCCGGTAAATTTTTCACAATATTTACACATGTGCTGAGTACAAAAATGAACTACATGAAAAGTTAGCTTTTGTTGTGTAGACACAGATTTGTCAATGCCCAAAACTGTAGTCTCAAACCAAACCAATTTTTTTTTGAAAAATTATTTGCTGAGTAAGCAATTTTTGAATATGTGTCATATTGAGATAAAATATTTGATGACTATAAAAGCTTATACCATTTGATAAATGTATGATAGTGTACGACAAAATGACACAATCAGAACTGAAAGTCTTTACAAAAGTACAACAGTGCTTACATCACAGTAAATAAAAATACATCATTATCATTGACAAAAATATCGACAGGCGAGACCAGGCGCTGTGGGAGAGGCAGCGCTCTGTGCCAACGAACAAAGCATAAACGATTTTTGTGACATCGTGAACAATTGCGATAATATTATTATATACCTTTTCTCAAACTTCCGGTTGATCTAAATTGGTTCTAGATTTATGCGAAATGCGAACATAAATGTTTTAACATTTAGAAGAATTCCGTTTCTTGTGAATCAGAGACGAAAACAATGTTTGGAAATATTTTTTAAAGCAGCATTTTTTTCGATTAACCAAACCAAAAGATAAAAGAAGAACGAGACAAAACACAAATTAATTTGGAAAAAATAACGCCCATTCATGTTTGTCGTGAAAAGGAATCATTGAAATAGATAACTGCGGTTTTTGCAATCAAATCTATCTTTATTTCCCCCAAGAAAACGTATTATATTATAACTATGCGACGTGTACTGTTATAC